AAAAAAAAAGAGGAGAAATTGAAAGGAGAGAGTGTGTCGAGGGGGTTGGAGAATACAGAGAGGAACTTTGCTATAATGTCATTGGGGAGAGCAAATCACTGCCCAGTTACCATCTCCAAGAAGTCTTTTGTGACCCCCTCCCTCAATGCATTTTCATATCCTCTTTACTATCACTGCATAATGAATTAACCCAAAACTATCTCACACAGTTTCTAAGGGTCAGGAGTCTAGTGGTGGTTTAGGAGTCACTATGGCTCAGCCTCCCAGGAGGCTATTGGCTTTTTCTGATGGCCTGCCAAGGACTGGAGGATCAGCTTCCAAAATGGCTCACTCACATGACTGCTAGCAGGCAGGCTCCTTTGTTCACCAAGTGGACCTCTTTGTAAGCCTCTTGAGTGTCCTTATGACATGGCAGCAGGATGTCCCCAGGAGGAGAGATCCAAGAGAGAATAAGCCAAAAGTCGCAATGCCTTTTATGACCTTGTCTCCAAGGACTAGGTTATAGACACTGTCCTTTGTGCTTTTTTTTCTTATTCTCTACAGTTGAGTCCCTTTTTCCATCCCACACTCAAGGGAAGGGGACTTAGGCTCTATCTTTTGAATGGAAACTCAAAGAATTTGTGAACATAGTTTAAACGACCATATCTCTTACTCTCCCTGGGCCGGCAAAGGGGTCCTACTCTCTGCTCTCTTGTGTGGTGTGGTAGCCAAGGAATTTACAGCAGCTTGTGACTCCATCATTCTTTTATTCTATTCATATGGAAAATTACTAGTAAAAATAACGTGTGCACACGAACACAGACAGACAATGGGCCAGACCTCATACAAAGTTGTAATAAATAAAAAGCTGCTTGGAGAATCACATCTTTTTAACAAAATTGGAGGTATAAAAATGTGACTCAGGGAAATTGAACTGTTAAAAATAATGGTCACAAAAGAAAACTTACAGTAGCCGGTTGCTGTTAGAACTTGATATGAACAAAAGAGTCATAAAAAATAAAATCTTGGTTGTAAATTTACATGGAAAAGACCAATTCCAGTGAAAATAATCCTGGTAGAACCCCAAAAGAAAATGAAAACAAAACAAAACAAAACAAAACAAAACCGGGAATAGTTTAACTACAGAGTAGAGAAAGTTGATCAAAGAATGAAATTAGCCTAATGACACTCTCTCTGGAAACACTGTCTTCACAATCAACATTGTTCGTATAATTCTGGTTAGGATGCTTGCATTAGTGCATAGAGTAAAAATGCTCTTGAGATCAAAACAGTGGAAGCTTAGTATCTCTGCAGACAAAATGCCTGTCACAGGGGCACCTGGCTGGCTTAGTGCGTGGAGCATATGACTTTTGATCTCAAGGGTCATGGGTTTGAGCCCGATGTTGGGTGTAGAGCTTATTTAAAGAACTACAACATGCCTGTGACAATTTATCTGTTACTTCATGTATACATTAAATAACCTTTCGGTAGAGTGGACTTGGAGGAATAGCTCTTTAAAGTTTAACGTCTAAAGCAGAAACTAAAATTGAAAAGATTGACAGAATTCACTAGAGAAAAACAAGTACATTCAAAAAATGCTATAATTAACATGAAAAGAGAAATGATAGCTTGGAAAAATGACTGTGTTTGATAAAGAGTTCATGTATTTAATATATATGTCTCACAAATCAATGAGAAGACACCCTAAGAATAAATGGAAAATTAGTCTCATAAGAGAAAAAAAAGCAAATGAAATTATGACAGAAAGTTTAACATCATTAGTAATTAGAGAAATAAAAAGTAAAAAAAAATGTATACTCGCATACATTGCTAGTATGAGTGAAAATGGGTACAACCTTTCTGAAGGGAAGTGTCACATATATATATAAAAAGACTGACAAAAATGACTTGGCAATTCACAGTTAAGAATTTATCCATATCTGGGGCACCTGGGTGCCTCAGTCAGGTTAAGCATTGAACTCTCGATATCAGCTTGGGTCATGATCTCAGGGTCATGAGATGGAGCCCTGCACTGGGCTCTGTGCTGAGCGAGGAGCCTGTTAGAATTCTCTGTCTCTCTCCCTCTGCCCCTCCCTCCATTTGTGCTCTCTCTTTCTCTCTCTCTCTAAAAAAAAAAAAAAAAAAATTATCCATATCTAAGAATAATCAGTGAGGTAGGCAAAGATACATGTTCTAGAGTATTCCTGACAGCATTATTCATAAAAACAAAAAATATAGAAACAGCAAAAATATCCTATAATGGGGGGCTTGGTTAAAATTAAAATACATTCATACAATGAAATTCTATTATGCATTAAGTTGATGTTTTAGATGAATATTTATTAATATCAAGGTGTAAAAGAAACAAGTTATAAATGGGATGTACAATATAAGCTCATTTTGGTACAAAATGAATGAAAGGATATACAAAACATATCTCTGGGTGGTGAAATTATAGGTGTTTATTCTTTTTTAAGATTTTATTTATTTGAGAGAGGGAGAGAGCAGAGTGAGAGAGAGCTCGAGCGGGGGCTGGGGGGACGATGGAGGGAGAGGGAGAAACACGTCCCCGCTGAGAAGGATCCTGGGATCATGACCTGAGCCAAAGGCAGACCCTTATCCAACTGAGCCACCCAGGTGTGCTGGTATTTATTTTTTCATTTGCTTTTTTGTATTTTTTAAATTAAGGAAATGAATATAGTTTGCTTTTATCACGAGAAAAAAATTGTGAGTTTTTTAAGTATAAAAAATGCACTCAATTGCAATTAGAAGAATGTTTTCTAATTTTTTAAAAAATTTTATTTATTTGAGAGAGAGAGAGGGAGTGCGAGCAGGGGGAAGAGGCAGAGCAAGAGGGAGAAGCAGACTCCCTGCTGAACAGGGAGCCCCATCGATGGTAGGACCCTGGGATCATGACCTGAGCAGAAGGCAGATGCTTAACCGACTGAGCCACCCAGGTGCCCCATTTTTTTGTATTGATGCAGGTTTCCTTAAGTTATCTATAGTATTTTCTTGCTTTTTAGTGAAAAAAAAATAACACACTTTAAAAAAAAGAAGTTCAGGCCAGAATTTGGGAACAGGCTGTGGTTATAACCACCTCCTTCTGATTCCTGCCCCCACATCTTTGCTCCCATTTTCCACTCCCGCTCTAAAAAGTTAACCAAACTAGCTAAGTGGCCCTTGGAAGATAAACAATAAAATTTGTTTCCAGTGAAATAAAAACTTAAATGATGTACTTGCTTGAGCCCCTCTATGTGATTACTAACATAAACATACAAGACTTGATGGGGAGATAATCCTATCTATCTGCACACATTCAGGTGGTTCCTAGCATTTCCAGTTTTGCTTACAAACAAATAAAATATCGTATTTTATTTACAAATGGTTATTATTCTGAGTTATGTCCACTAATGTAATATAACAAAAAATGTTTTAAAATACAGTAAGAAATAGGTTTAAGCAGATTTTAAGTGGATTAGTAAAAGCACCAGAGTGTTGCTTCTATTTTTAAAGAAACCTCTTTTATTTTGGAATTGTGAAGGACTATCTCAGCACATTTTTCACTCACTAGGCCATTTGTTGCCTTTCTTTCCTTTCCAAATCCAGCTTTCATTTTCAGTCACCTAAAAGTAAAATGTTTCTTATGGCAAAAATAATGTTCTGAGTTATCTAAGTTCCATAAAGAATATCATTTTGGATGCCACAAGCTTTTGCCTTTTTCTAATTCCCAACAACAAGCCATAATTTTTCCTCTTCTAGTTCTATCCAGAACCTTTAAATTAACAACATAAGAAACTAAACAGGAAGTTACATTTCTCTGATCTAGAAAGTTAGGAGGAAGATGGGGAACAGATGAGAAAACTAATTAGGAGAAGGAAGCCACCATATTTTGGTTCCATTAATCAAAATTATATATTCAAAATTCTCCTAGTATCCTGACTGAAAAGATCAAACATCAGAAAGAAGTACAGTATATTTTTTCCAGTTGTCTATAGGTCATAATGAAAGGAATGATCATTTCCTGTATGTACTGATAGTTTCAAATCTATTTAGAAAGAGGTCCACAAAAGTTTAAGCGTAGCTCCTAACTAGTGCTTTAAAGGAAGGTTTGATTTATATATTTAGTGACCAAAAAAACCCAAACAAGCAAACCCTAACAACTTAGCCCATATGCCATGACTTTTCAAATACCAACATATTTGAAATTACAATAATAACCGTTTCCATAGCAAATGTGATACACAAAAACAACAGATTTTGGCTTTTTCTGAATGCTATTTGGAGCCAGTTTTGTTTAAGAAGCTGAACTAGACTAACTTACTTAGTTCAGTTGACTAGCTCAGTGGCCTCCAGACTTTGGGATTTCACAAAGCAGCCAAGTTTCCCAAATGAATGAATAAATAAATAAACGGGAGAGTAAAGAACATAGGGTTATTAACTTTTTTATTTTACCAATGAGGATACATAAAAGCTCAATTGTCATCAATGATGACCATTATTTCATAAGAGAAAGGACACTTTAACAGAAAAAAAAGCAAGAAGGGAATAATCTTATAATAAAAAAACATCCCTTAAGAGGAAAAAAATTGGTTTTATGAAAAAATCACTACATTTTCTATGTATAATTTCTAATAAACCATAATAGACTAGTATTTAGGAACCACTGGGGACCACTATAGTATGAAGGAGATCAACTTTTCATTTTTAATTCCCATATAAGCTAGTTAAGTTATATTGATCTGCTTCAAGGCCCTAGAATGTGTGTTAACATGTATTTTTTGTTGCCTGTTAATTCACTGATTCTTTCAACTATTCAACAAATACTTCATGTGGTCTATTATATATTAGGCGCTGAAGGAGATTATAAAGCAAAATAAGATTGTTTCTTCTCTTACGGTGCACAGAAAAAAATTATAATTCAAGACAAAACATACCATAAGAGGGCACAAATGGATCAGGGAAACCTAGAGGAAGGGGGCAGTGGGCAGGCATGGGTGGCATTTGAGGTTTATTATAAGATGACATTTCAATGGCTTATGCTGGTCTGGTGGAGGGCATTATGGAAGATGGTTAATAAAATTACCCAAACCAATAAGCCTCGTGAAGGATTAAATACGTTGACAATCTTGAGAGTAATTTGGCTTGATATGAATTAGAGAGTACTGGGGAAATATGAATAGGCCATTTTGCAGAGGATCTTCAAAGTCAAAACAAATGTTTAAACTACATCTAGGAAGCGAGGCATCACCACCAAGCAGGTGAGTGGAGATGGAAAAACTCCTGAACTTGAAATGAGGAGCCATGAGTTTGAGTGTCAACTCTATTCTTCCCATGAAAGCTTGAGAAATTCTCTTAATCCCTCTGAGCCTCCTTTTTCCATCTGTAAAATGAGATTAAATTCTATGTTACATGATTTATAATTAAATAAAATGCAGTATGTGAAAAGTCTAATACAGTCTTGGATATACAGTTTGAAATCATTAATGTTTGTTGACTGTGAATATTACTGAATCATCAAAATTCAGGTTTAGGAAGATTATTGTGTTAATCTGTGGGTTCAAAAAGAGAAACTAGAGAACAAACTGATGGTCGCCAGGGGAGGGGGGGTGGGGGATGGGCAAAATGGGAGGAGGGCAGTGGTAGGTATAGGCTTCCAGTTATGGAAATGAATAAGTCGCAGGGTTGAAAGGTACAGTATTTGGAATATAGCCAAAGCTATTGTAATAGTGACCTATGGTGACAGATGGTGGCCATACTGTAGTAAGCATAGCATAATTTACAGACTTACTGAATTACTAGGTGGTATATACCTGAAACTAATGTAACATTGTGTGTCAACTGTGCTTCAATAAAAAAAAAGTAAAGAGAGAGACAGAAACTGAGTGGGAGGGAAAGAGGAAATGAGAAATTCATGGGAATAGAAAGGAGTAAATTGAAGTGAGAGATATGTGGACTGCTTGCATGGATGGGATGAAAGAGGAGTGCCCAAGGAAGATGCCACATTTAAGTACGGAATGGTGTCATTTGTAGAATCTGGGAGACTGTGACTAGAAGCCCAGTGAGAGGTCAGGGTGAGGAGATTTTTGATTATTGAATTTGAGGTCCTAGGGCTGTATCTGGGTGGAAATGGGCAGCAGGTTTAGGAAGTTAGGAGAGGAGTCAGAAGCTGAGATATGGATTAGGGAATCCCCTGTATAGGGATGAGAATTGAAGCCATAAAGACACCCTCGTAATGCCAAGAGTGGGAGTATTGAGGCAGGAGGGGACCAAGGACTGAGTTTTGAGTAGCTCCTCTACTGGGTGAGTGAGTAGAAAAGGAGGTTGGAAGGGTAGCAGAGAGGAGATTCGAAAAGTGGGAAAGACCAGGTGTTTCCAGGGGGCCCATGGAACCCAAGAGAGAAAAGGTAGTTTTAAGAACAAAGGGGCGCTCATAAGTGCCTCATGCCCCAGAGGCCAAAGACACAAGAGCAGAAGAGTCAAAACAAGGAGCTCATTAAGGGCTTTTGTGAGAACAGTTTCAGTAGTGTGGTAGGTGCAGAAATCCCACTGACGGAAAGGATCGATGAAGTTAGTTAAAATATATATATTCATTTATATTTTGAATAAGGAAAGATGCTTATGAATCAAAAGCTACCAAAGCATAAAAGGAAAAAATTAGGTCTCTCAACTACTCCTCTGGTTTCTTGTGCATCCCTCCAGGAATATCCAGGGATATGCCGTGAATATATATGCTTTTTAAACACCACACTAAAACATACTGCTCTGCACCTTTCTCTTTTTCCTTTGACCACATGGTGTCCCAGAGATCTCTCCATTTAATGCCTATGTGATCCCTATGTGAAGCATAATTTACTGGATTGGTCCTTTCCTCTACTGATGGACATTTAGGTTTTTTCCATCAAGAAGTTGATAAAAAGAACAAAATCTTCCTGGTTGACTAGGTGATACTCTAAAACTCTAGATCTGGATGACTTAAGTGGTAGGACTCCTGTACTTACCAACAAACTACATCCATCCCCTTCTCTTATTCCAGTTTTGATTTGGTTCCTGCCTTCATGGGAGGATTCCATTTCCTGTTTTGCAGCCTCTTCTAGCCCTTCCACATAATCCCATCATAAGGCTTTCTGGAAATAAAAAAGTAACTCCTGCTCAAAACATTTATATCCTGAACACTAGGCATCTGACTGATTTAGCCTTTAGTTATGATCTCATAAGGTATATAGATGTCAGCCTCCCACTGAAGACTGTTGGTGTTGGAAAGATCTTAGAAGTTGCACAGTCCCACCCCTTTGTTTTATAGCAGTGGAAACCGGAGAACAGTGACATATATTCCCTCAAATCATGTGGCAAAACAGTAATGGAACCCAGTGTTTGTTTTACTCCCAAACCAGTGTTTGACCTCAAACCAGACCTTGGATTGAGTAGGGAATAAATAAAGGAAAAATGTCTTTGGGATCTGGGAAAATATAATGTGGTACCTGGGAACATGAGAGCCTGGTTTCACTTTTCAGTTTAGACTGGTTCACCGTACGACTTCACGAAGTCATGTGTCCTCCCTGTGTTTTAGTTGCTCCAGCTACACATTTGGCCTCCTACCACACAGGCCTTGCAGGAAATGTTGTGAAGGTTGATGAGGTAATCCTTATAAAATTCTGTTAGCTATTCAGATGAAAGCCACAACTGTGTCTAGAACTGATAGAATGTTGGATATGCAGTACGGACTCTTCTATCCCATATTGGTTTATCAGATGCTGTGAATCTTCAGCCAACCAAACAGCTTATTGTCATCAGCTAAGCCTTTTTCCCTCCCTCCCTTTGGTCATTCTTAACCTGGTTGATTCAAAGTTTACTTACTCTAGTTCCCTGAGTTTCAAAATAACACAAGGTCTTCACCATTTACTTAAATCCTCTGTGCCTCGGTTTCTCCATTTGCCAAATGAAGATATGGGGGGGGTTGCGGTGAGGATTGAATACATGTAAAATAGGGCCTGATACATACAAAGTGCTCAATAAGAGTTCACTACTATTAGTGTAACCTTTCGAAAGTAGATGATAGTATATGTAAACATGCGTTCAATTAAAAAAAAAACTGCAGTGCTCAATGCTCAATGGTTTCTTTGTTTCTCTGTTTTTAAGGGAACACACTGAAGATTTCCATAGGTGAAGTAACAAGGCTTCTTGCCTAAGGAGATAGATACATAAAAATGAAGGAGAACTGGGCTGCTCAGGCCCTCGGATCCCTAAGTTTTCTCATTAAAAATTTGCTTCCTCAGCTGTCTTGTTCAATGTTGCATCCTCAGCACCCAGGTGCTCAATCAATATTAGCTAATGAATGAATGAATACATTTATGAATGTTGCCTGATGGATAGTGAGTCTATGCCTGTAGATAAAAAAAATAGAGAAATAGCTGTGTAGTCGTACAAGCTGGCCCAGAGAATCAATGGGTTTCGTTTTTGTTTTTAGTTAAGTCAGATATCTTAAGAAGGTAGTTGAGAGCATTTCTTTTTGACAGTGGTATTCTACAGAGAATCATTTTTAAAAGGAAGGGACCCTGCATTGGGCTCCCTGCTCAGCGGGAGGCCTGCTTCTCCCTCTCCCACTCCCCCTGCTGTGTGCCCTCTCTCACTGTCTCTCTCTCTCTCTGTCAAATAAATAAATAAAATCTTTTAAAAAAAAGATCATTCTGAAGGTGTCACAAAGAACACCCTATTAGAGTGTCTGTCTCTGAAAATGAATCCTTCTTCTTTGTACTCAGGGTGTTTCTCTGTTAATAATAGCCTCCTACTATGACCCCAAGTTTCACAGCCTCCCTGAAAGTAAAAGCTGCTCTTTGTGTAGGCATTTCTTTTTTTTTCCATTCCTAAACACACTCCTCCCCAACTGGGGTCATAGTAATGCCACTGCTACGAAATGCATCACTAGTGAATCAAAGGACAAGTCAGAGCAACTGTCTTTGTTTCCTTCTCTTCCTCATCATGTTTATTTAGGTCGAAATGGTTTTCAATAAAATTCAACAAGCATTTACCCAGCACCCATTGTGAACAAAGCACTGTGCTAGGTCACACATGCAACATAAAGTCAATTAGGCATGGTTTCTGGTCTCGAGAATCTTGTATTGGCTTTCAGATTATTATATGACTGGTGAAATGTTTCAGTATCTCTCTTCAATCTGTCCAGGCTATAGGTTTCTCTTAATTTGACTTGTTGCTCTGGAATTCAGTTGAAGGTGAATTTGAATACTTTGGATTTAACAGAAGTCCTGAAAAAACCCTTCCTGATCCCTCCACTTAGATGTTCTCTCTGCACTTCGTAACTGTTACGGCATTTACCTCTTTTACATTGGATTATATTTATTTATGAACATGACAGCCTCCATAATCTAGGGAGGGAACAGGCATAGGGAAAGGTGCCTGAGAAGGGGAGCCAGAAGACTTGTCCTTGTTTATGAAGGCAGACCCAGGTATTAATCAACCATGAAATCTTGGCCATGCAACTTAATCTCTATGACCCTCAGTCCTGCATCTAGAATTGCAAGATAATAATGCCTATTTCACAGAATGAATATGAAAATTAGGTAGTCATATGAATGTGCTTTGTAAACTATTATCCAGATGTTAATTTTATTATCCCCTATGTGACCTAGCAAAGGGCCTTGCCTCTGAGGGATACTTTCTTAATGTTCATTAAATTATTGAAAAATGACATCAACCAACTTGTGGTCACTCACATTCTTTTCCTGGCCCACGTTGTTTGCAAGACATGTCTGTAGTGCCCTAGTAGGTTCAGGGTGGAGTAATCGTAGGGATTAAACAGGATCAAAAGGGCCTACTTGCTGGTGGGGCTAGGGTCCAATGCCCTTCCCCTCATACTTTCTATGTCTTGCTTTTATCTTAAGGGCAGGTAATATCGGGGAGGCCCTCGTAGTTAAAACATGGGCTTTGGAGTAAGACCATCCTAGGTTCAAACCTTGGATCTGCCAGTTTATTAGTTGTGTGATACAGGGTAATTTTAAAATTTTTCTGAGCTTTTGTTTTCTCATCTGAAAAATGAAGATACATGATTTTTCAATAATTAAAATTAGATAATGTTTTAAATGAGAAATTGTGAGGAATTAGTGAGTTACATTACTTAAATGTTAACTAACAATGACATCCATTCTTAGTCCCTAACGGTTAATTGAGCAACTACTATGGGCTGAGCAGTAAACAGATGCTGGAGATAGACCTTGTCACCAGTAGGAAAGACAGACGAAAGACACACTGATGATACAGTGTGGCAAATGCTATGACAGATATAAGAACCGGGTGCTCTGGGAACAGTAGGGGAACCTATGTGACAGCACTGAGGGATGTGTCAGGAGCTATCTGGGAAGGCTTCTTGCAGGAAGTGATTACTATGAAGTAGGAGTAAGCCAGGTGGACAGAGGTACCATCCTGAGCAAGGACGCAGAGACCTTGTAGAAAACATGCCCTTTTGGGAAAACGGAGAGCGGCTCTGATAAATGAAGCCATACAGGTTTGTAGATACCAGATCATGGTGAGTGGCAGTTTGCTATGTGAAAGAATTTATGCTTTATTTGGAGGAAACGGGGAGGCATCGGTGGATGCGCTCCCTCACTTGGTGGGAGTGCTTAAATGGAGAGCACTGAGTCAAGAAAAGGATTTTGATGTAATGAAATTAATACAGGTTTGGGGCTTCGCAGGTTCTCAGTCCTGGTTAAGCCCCCGCGTGTGACTCAATCAACTCCATCAACTCAATTTATCTCTCTAATTTCAACCATTCTCTCTAATGGTCAACCAGCGGTAACATCTAACCCTTAGAGCCACTTCGAGTTCTAAATAGGCTTTATGCACATCAGCCTCGCAGCAAAGTGTGTGTCCCATAGCAAGCATTTTAATAAACATCAGTTCTCTCTGCTTAACCACTGTGTAGCTGAAATACGAGCGCTGTTGCTAGGCCCTTCTCTCCCCTTCCTCCCTTCCCTTTCCTCTTTCAGCAGTGTAAGCAGCGGCGGCCAAACGCCAGGGACGAGGAGGATGTCCACTCAGGCGAGCACTCCTAAGTGATGATTAAAAAACAGCCGCACCGAAGCCCGGGCGCGGGCGGGGAGCGGGGCTGGGCATGCTCAGAGGGCCGGCCGGGCGGGCGGCAGCGATCTCTGCGGCCGGAGGGAAGCGGGGCGGGGGCGCAGACCGGAGCGGCGCCGGGGCGCATGCTCAGTGCCCGCATCTGCTCACTCCATCCAGTGCGGCAGCCGGAAAACCGCAGCGGCGGCGGCGGCTGACGGGGAGCGACCGAGCCGAGCGGCAGGAGGGGGGAAAAAATACAAGGGCAGAACTGATAAGGACAGGACCGAGAGCGTGGGATTTACGGCCTCTCGCGGGCCGCCGCCTTCGCCGTCCGCAGGGAGGAAGGCCCGGGAGGCGGCGGCCGGAGAAGGAGGAGACGGCGACGGGAGGGGAGCGCAGAGGAGGGGCCGGGCCGCCGGCGGCCTGGGAGCCGCAGTGATTTTGACGTTTTTCTCCGCTCCGTCTCCGGCGGCCCCCGACGGGGCTGCGCTGTGGGGCGGGAGGCGCCCCTGTCCCGCGCGCCCGGCTCGTCCCTTCACCCGCCGGGGCCTGAGGGGGTCTCCCCGCTCCGAGGGAAAGGAAGCGGGAGGCGGGGGCGTGCGGGCACCGCGATGGCGGGGACATTTTCCACAACGTGATTGTTAAAGCCTTCCCCCCCACCTTAAAATTCCGGGCCCTTCCAGCCTCCCCCCCTCCCCCCAAGCCCGTGTGACTAAACGGAGACAAAGGGGAGGCGGCCTCGCTCACACGCGCGCTCGCGGGGCGGGTGGCTCGGCGGGGCGCCGGCGCGGGGCGGGCGGACGGACGGACGGACGGACGGACGCTGCGCCGTCACATTCCTATGCCCGGGAGGAGCGGCGGCGGCTCCCGCGGGAGGCGGCAGGCTCGCGGCGCGGACAGCTGAGCTTCTCCTCCCCCGTCGCCGCCCGGGCGGGCCTCGCCCCGGCCCCGATGGTTTGAGCTCTTCCCTCCTCCCATCCCGACCCCCGCGGCGGCGAGGCCACACCATGTGAAGGTTAGAGCCCGGACATCCCGAGGAGCCGCCGTGAAAGATGGGGGATGCTGCAGACCCCAGGGAGATGAAAAA